TATATATATATATATATATATATATATATATATATATATATATATATATATATATATATAAACTTGAAATCTTTTTTATCAAGTATAGTTAAAACTTATACTTGTATCTGAACTTTGCTTTATCCCTTTCCGTCAGTATCTCTCAACCTTTGCAACTTTAAGATCTTAAATGTTAAAATCTACAGTTATTTTCTTACCTGGGTGATGAATTATCATAAAGTTTGATGCTGGGACTGCGGTCCCTTCGAACAGACGCTGGCTCCAACGTGGGTAAACCGGTGGCAGATGTGGTTGTCGTCCAAGTGGAGGACACTCGCCGTAGAAGACCTGGGGGAAGGCTTTTCCTAAAGCGCTGTAGGTAAGACAAATAACATCTTAGGACTACCGTATTTTTCGGAGTATAAGACACACTTTTTCCCCTCAAAAAAGAGGCTGAAAATCTGGGTGCGTCTTATACACTGAATACAGATTTTTTTGCCTCCCGAAACTCCGCCCCTTCACCAAAATGGCCACACAGAGCCTCTAGGAAGCTTTCAGAGAGCTCCTGGGGGCTGAGGAGGGCAAAAATGAGTGAAAAACTGGCTGTTTTTTGTTCAATTTCCCCCCCCCACCCCAGCCCTTAGGAGAACTCTATAAGTCTCCTAAAGGCTATGCATGCAATTTTTTTTGTCCAAAAAAAAAATAGTTTTCACAAAAAAATGGGCCATTTATTCCTCGTTTTTGGAGGGCCCCACCTCCCAGGAGCACTCTGCAAGTCCCCTAAAGGCTATTCATGCCTTGGGGGGGGGGCGTTTTTGCGAAAAATGGGCCATTTTTGGGAGGTTTGCAGAGTGCAAAAACCTTTTTTAAAAAAATTTGCCTCTTCGAAACCTTGCTGCGTCTTATACTTTGGTGCGTCTTATACTCTGAAAAATACAGTATTTTATGATGTCACCAAGAGAATTGACTTATTCTCCAGAGAGGACAAGAGGTAATAGGTGACAGCTTATGAAAGAGAGATACAGTGGGAATAAGTAATCAGTGGAATAGTTTGTTACCCAGAATTGTGGGTGCTCCATCACTGGAGGTTTTAAAAAATAAACTAGACAACCATTTGACCAGGATGGTATAAAGTCTCCTGCCTTGATCAGGGGGTTAGACTAGAAGACCTCCCTATGGTGTTGTGTTCCATGGTGTTTTCATCCACGATCTTCAGTTTTTATCAGCAAGTACATTGGACAACTCAGTAAATGAAGGAAATGCCCTGCTATTAATCTTTGACATTCTGTAGTCTTTTCCTTGGACAAGGATATTGTGCATAGTCCTTTTATAGCAATAGCACTTAAGACTTATATACTGCTTCACAGTGCTTTACAGCCCTGTCTAAGCAGTTTACAGAGTCAGCCTCTTGCCCTCAACAATTTGGGTCCTCATTTTACCTACCTTGGAAAGATGGAAAGATGAATCAACCTTGAGCCTGGTGAGATTCGATCTGCCGAATTGCAGGCAGCCTGCAGTCAGCAGAAGTAGCCTGCAGTACTGCACTCTAACCACTACGCCCCCATGGCTCATATCGTGCGCCACCATGGCTTTATCCAAAACTGTCACCATTTATTCTATTTCCATGGATGAGAAAAGTATGTTTCAGATGCTCCTGTGTTTCTGATGCTCTCTTAAAGGATCAGATTCATAACTTGTTCGAATAAAATGATTATGAAATGAGTATCTTGCAGGGTTCGTTTTATTTCCATTTGCCACAGATCAATGCTTCTCAACCTAGTTTATGATACGTACGGAGGTGCCACTGTACAATAAAAGTAGCTTTAGCCTTTAGACTAACGAGTTGGTTCTTTGGTTTGGTTTACCCTACTGGCTCTCCCACCCGGTGTGCATAAACGGAGTCAGTTTGGCAAGCTAAATACGCAACATTTACCTTGGGAATAGTAAGCTTTTCTCCCTTCTCTGAACATTCTTCTGTGTCCGAACAGGTGTAGTTTTCATTGAAGGATGCCAAAGTATTGACTCTTGGTCTGTGGATAGCTTGGAAGGTCAACTGTGTGTTAAGCAGGTTGCTCACTGCTCGAAGGGAGGTGCAGACATTGGGTGGCAACGAAGGATCTGCCAGGAGGTCAGTAATGAGTCCATGAGCTTCTCCCATGACGGCAATATCTACGGTAATACTGGTGCCCGAAGACTGGAAAGAGAGGGGAAAGAAGCATTAGCCCTAAATCAGAAAGTAAATAATGCATAACTATGCCAATGTGATTTGTGCAGTGGGAAGGGAGGGAGGAGGGTTGCCATGATGCCCACTGGCATTGTATTGCTGACCTAGGGCAGCGTAGAAGGGGAAAAAACCCCACATAATTCTTATTCTATGCTTTCTATGGTACCACTAATGAGTACTAATGTCAGCCAGAGGATGCTGTTTGCATATTAAATGGGGGGAAAAAACCCTAACCTACTGTATTTTTTGGAGTATAAGACGCATCTTTCCCCCACCAAAAAAGAGGGTGAAAATCTGGGTGCGTCTTATACACTGAGGCATTTTTGGCCTCCTGAAACCCTGCCCCCTTTGCAAAAATGGCCGTGCATAGCCTTTAGGAGGCTTCCAGAGTGCTCCTGGGGACTGAGAGGGCAAAAATGAGCAAAAAACGGGCCATTTTTTGCTCGTTTTTGCCCCCCTGGGAGCACTTTACAAGCCTCCTAAAGGCTATGCATGCCATTTTTTTGACAAAAAATGGGCCCATTTTTGCGAAAAACAGGCCGTTTTTGCTCGTCCCCCCCCCAAGCACTCTACAAGCCTCCTAAAGGCTATGCATGCCATTTTTGTTTTACAAAAAACGGGCCCATTTTCATGAAAAACGGGCCGTTTTTTGGGAGGTCTGCAGAGTGCAAAACCTTTTTTTAAAATTGGCCTCTTCAAAATCTTGATGTGCCTTATACTCTGGTGCGTCTTATACTCTGAAAAATATGGTAAATGAAGTGATTCATACTGCTTCTAGTTTGGCTGCCCATATAAATCAGCTTTATGTGTTCATGATGTAAACATCCGTGTTCTTAGAAAAATGTACGCAGGTAGTCCTCAACATATGACCACAGATGAGCCACAAACCTCTTGTTCCTAAGAGAGACAGTTTTTGCTGCATTTAACCATGTTTTTGGTCACAGATATAAGTGAATTGCCGCAGTTGTTAAATTAATATGGTTGTTAAGTAAATCCGACTTCCCCATTGACTTTGTTATGTCAGAAGGTCGCAAAATATAACCACATGACCCCGGGGACACTGCAATCATCATAACTATGAGTCACTTGCCATGTGGCCAAATTTTAATCACATGACGGGGATGTTGAATGGTTGTGTGAAAAACAGTCATAAGTCCCTTTTTTCAGTACCGTTGTAAGTTCGAAAAGTCACTAAATGAATGGCTGTAAGTGGAGGTGTAATGTCCTTCAGTGGATCTGGCTCATCTATTTTTTTTGGTCGCCAGAACCTGAGAAAGGATCATAAAGTTTTAAAAAGCCATTTCCCTAAAGTCTTTTTTGACAATTGCTTACATCAATGTTAGCCTGTGACGTCCTAGTTTGTTTTATCCTCATCATCTTCATTTAACGACCCATAATCCCTTGAGGGGTGGAGTCTGGGCAACTGAAGGGAGCTAGCAGAGTGTTTTAATGGCCGGATGCCTTCCTGTCACCAATGAGGAGTTTTGTTCAGCAGATACGTATATATTCTCAGTGTGCCCAGAGAGAGCAATATCTGCCTCTCCCTAGGATCAAACTCACAGCCTCCTGGTTATGAGGCGAGAGGTCCACCTCTAGGCCACCGCACCACTCCTACCTAGTTTGCTTTACGTTTCAGGAGAAGGGCATTTAAGGTTGGAAATGTACCATATTTTTCAGAGTATAAGGCACACCAAGATTTTGAAGAGGCAAATTTTTTTAAAAAAGTTTTTGGACTCTGCAGACCTCCCAAAAACGGCCTGTTTTTCACAAAAACGGGCCCGCCTTTTTTTTTTTTTTTACAAAAAAAAGGTACGCATAGCCTTTAGGAGGCTTATAGAGTGCTCCTGGGGGCTGGGTGGAGGGAGGGAAAATTGAGCAAAATTTCTCTCATTTCTGCCCTCCCTAGCCCCCAAGAGCACTCTGCAAGGCTCCTGGAGGCTCTGCACAGCCATTTTGGTGAAGGAGGCAGGGTTTCGGGAGGCGAAAAATGCTGTATTCAGTGTATAAGACGCACCCAGATTTTCAGCCTCTTTTTTGAGAGAAAAAGGTGCGTCCTATACTCCGAAAAATATGGTATTTCCAGACCCGATTCAACGTTAAAAATATGGGCCATTTAATTGATCCTAGCAATCGAGATCGGCAACCCATATCAAGGAACAAAATGGCGGGTAAGGGGAAGGGAGGGGCAGGGAGAGGAATAACCAAGGATCGACTATCAGACATCGTCAGAAAGCCAGCAGCGAGAGTCCAAGAAAATATCACAAACTGATTTCAGTTTCCAAAGCACATCATGAACTCCCTGGCCAAGACTTGAAATTAAAAGTAAACACATTTCTCCTTTCTCTACTGTTCTCCCTTGCCTTCAACGTCTAATTTCCAAAAAAACACTTGAGCAGCACAGATCGGCAGTTTCTGTGGAAAAAAAACAAAAAACGCCTGTCGTTTTGGAGTTTGCAGTTCGGCCCCAAAAGGGATTTACCGGGATTGAAAAAAAAATACGTAATTTTTAAAGTATGTTTTCTTTAAAAGAAATCTGGGTTCCTTTCACGCAAAGAATGGGTGTGGGCTTGACAGACTTTATAAAAATGACTTTCCCTCCCCCAGGAGCTTTCATGCCATTAAGACAACTGGAGCAAGAATTGAGCCAGGATAGAAACTAACCATGTTTCTATTAAATGATCATTCCTGGACTTTACTAAAAGCGTGCTACTCCACGTCACAGCAGAGGCAGCCCTGGAAGAGTTGAGTTCTGGTAGGCCTCAACCTTCGGCAATTGAGCTCAAAATTCCTGTCGCTGAGCGAGACAGACTTCAAGTGAGAATCCCCTATAAGCTTTCTTGCCATAGTTGTTAAGTGAATCACGGCAGTTGTTAAGTAGGTAACAAGATTACTAAGTGAATCTGGCTTCCCCCACTGACTTGGCTTGTCAGAAGATCACCAAAGGAGATCACGTGATCTCCAGGACACTGCAACCATCATATATACGGGCCAGTGCTCCGAATTTATGATCAAATAACCAAGGAGATCCTGCAATGGTCATAAGTCACTTTTTTTCTAGAGCCCTTGTAACTCCAAATGGTTTGTAAATCGAGGACTAGCTGTATAAATTATTAGGGCTATTTGTCCCAAAGCTGCTTTTTCAAAAGGCAAAAGACAATTTTATTTTTACTTGAAGATGTTTCACTTCTCATCCAAGAAACTTCTTCGGTTCACTTCATATTTGAAGTCGTGGCCACTCTACAATGTCAAGAGTTTGTTGCAGAAAAATCAAATCCAGAAAGCACACACACAGATAACGGATGCAGCTGGATTCATTAACTTCTTTATATACGTAAGAACAGATGAATACATGTACAATACCAACAGGTGATTCTTCCAAGTAAACACAAGGCAGAAGAGTTACAGGCAAACACACGCAGTTAGTTTCATTTTAGCAGACAAGCCCAGACAGACTGCTAGTTTACTTCTCAGAGCAACAGACTGCTTAAGTTTCTGTTTCAATTCTCTGCACAGACTCAGATCTGTTTAAGCTCCCATTGGTTGACTTAGTTGCTATGCCTATTCAATGGCTGACCTTATTCCCATGTCTCTCCCAGTCATGAATATTTTAACATACAAGATGGCTACCGAACCGAACCTTGAAGGTTCCTCATCTCTTCCAACGGCTGTGGGAGACTTCTGAATCTTAACTTTGCTCTCAATTAATTCTGGCTTAAGACCCTTTTTCCTCCAGTGTTGTGTTGTGGTTATCCCTCTCTTTTGGACTCTCTCCTCCTACTGAACTGTTTGACTTAACCCCTGGTTCACTTAAGGTTCCTCATACTCTCAGGATGATCTATGCGGCCCAACATCTGCATCAAATATCCCCATGAGGATATCGTCTTGTTCCCTAAACAAAACAACTCTCTGGATAATAATTCCTATTCTTGCAAGATGAAATTTGAAATAGTCAGGAAGAAGGCAACAAAACCGTCAGGTCCAAAGAATCAGGGTCCCTTCCATAAGTTTCAGATGAAAAGATTTATTGATCATGTTTATAACCAAGAATCTAGTCAACTAACGTACAATACTAAATTGGCGTCAGATGAGGATCAATGGAATTAAAGAGTGGTTGGACTGAAGAACGTTTGTGGCAACATAACAATTCCAGGCTGATGACTCACTTAACTCTGCCCCCTAGTGCTGCTTGCTCTTCTCCTACACAACCATAGTTAGAAAAAGTTATGGATAAGAAGTAGAATAAAATCTAGCCTCTTTGTCATCAATGCCTTGATTGTTCAACCAAATTACTGTGCCACTGATATAAAAGAAAGTATAGTTAATCAAAAGAGCCTCTGAGTTTGTCTATTTTTTCTCCAACCACTGGGATAATTTAGTCTCCACTGTTTTGGTTTTGGCTATTTTGGGACAAAATGGAAAATCTTTTAGTCTCTGACATGTCCCACTTTGAGATGATTAAAAAAAAACCTGATATCATCAAGAGTTTGGAATTTCCTCTGTGACAGGAAACACAGCTGTTTGGTCTCCTTTAATCCCTCAGTATTTAGTAGAGGAATGGGATGGAAGAAAGAAAATAAAACAATTAGAAGTATTGATCATGCATGATTCATATTCTCCCTCCCTCCCTTCCTCTCTTTCTCTCTTCTCAAGATGTTGAGGCTCTAGAAAGACTGCAGAGAAGAGCAACATAGATGATTAGGGGACTGGAGACTAAAAGATATGAAGAACGGTTGCAGGAATTGGGTATGTCTAAAAGATATGAAGAACGGTTGCAGGAATTGGGTAGTTTAATGAAAAGAAGGACCAGGGGAGACATGATAGCAGTCTTCCAATATCTCAGGGGTTGCCACACAGAAGAGGGAGTCAAGCTATTCTTCTTGTTCTGAGGGCAGAACAAGAAGCAATGGGTAGAAACTAATCAAGGAGAGAAGCAACTTAGAACTGAGGAGAAATTTCCTGACAATTAGAAA